AATCCAGAAGGTAAGGGAATAACCTGAAAAGTTTTTGGCCCGGGGTGGGAAGATGGGGGGGGGGGGGTTCTCTTGAAAAGTGGGTAGGGGGTCTCGACGGACCTTTTAGGATCGAAAATGAGACCTCGCCTACCTTTTAGGGGCTCCGACTCCCGGCTGACTACGTATCTTTTAGGGTCAGATTTGTTCGTCTTGAAAAATATCAAACATCATTCAAGAATATAATGGTTGGAAATTAATGATGGCCTGCAAGAATCACTTGAATGATTTTTCAAGGATTCCCTTTAAGGTCAATCCAGACAAGTTTCAAAGCTTTGGTCTGGCTCCTGGTCGATCCTCTGTCGACTTCAAGTTTAAAGTCGCCAATCAAGAACTTCAACAAAAGAACAGTATTAAATTACTTGGAGTTACTATTGACAATTCACTAAATTTTCATGAACATATTGCTGGCCTTTGTCGCAAAATTAGTAGACAAATTAGTGTCTTTAAAAAGATTCAAACGCCTTATTTCTCTTGATACTAAGATCAAGTTATACAATTCATCTGTGTGGCACTTTTGTTTAAAAAGTGACTCCGACAAACTAGAAACACGAAATGAAAGAGCATTAAGAAGTATTTATCAAGATAGGGATAGTGATTATCACTCTCTATTAAACAAGGCCAACAAGACAATATTATATAATCGCAGACTCCAAAATATTACAATTTTAGTTTTTAAAGCATTGAATGATCTAGCTTCATCATGTATCAATGATTCATTTTCATTACGTGTTACACCTCACCCGGGGGGGTACTACCACCCCAACTTGGGTAGGGGTGTGCCGCCAGGACCTCAAAACCCTGACCCTATCCCAGACCTAAAATTTTGGTTTTACATACCCTACCCTATACCAAAACTAAGAATCGTACACCCTATCCCAGACTAAAAGACGGAAAATACGGTTTTACAATCGATTGCAATCAATATTTACTAACATTTTTATTGTTTTTGGTCGGCAGAAAGCGTAGCCTATTCGCCAGACAAAAACGACCAAATCGTTAACCCTATCCCAGACTAAGATAATACCCTATCCCAGACAAAATGTCCAAAAATGATATCCTACCCCAGGCCCAAAAGCCGAAAAACCATACCCTATAGGGCGGCACATACCCCCCCCCCCCCCCCCCCGGGACACCTCACAATCTTAGGGGGTCTCATATTTTAACTATTCCTAAAATTAATACAACAACATACTTAGGGCCTAAATTATGGAACTCTCTGATGGATAATATAAAAACATCTAATAAGCTTAGTTCTGTCAGAAACTAAATTTCAAAAATTGATCTTGCTAGTATCCAGTGACTTTTCATTTATTAATACATTTTACTTGTATTTACATATCTTTATATTTTTACTATTGTGTATCTTTTTCTTTTTTTAATATTTTTATCATAGCTATTTATTTTTTAGCTCGCACAAACTAGCACTTGTGTGCTATCATATTTAGTGAGAATATATAAAGATTTATTATTATTATTATTATAAACAGTTTCTAGTTGTTCTGTATAATGGTCAAATAGACACAAAGAAAACAATGGAAATAAAATCTACCATTCTCTATCAGTCTACTAAGTATTTCACGGTCTGAATCCTTATAGAAAATCCTTATGATCGTCCGTCTAAATTTAGAGTGATTTCCTACAAAATAGTCAAATAAAAAACAATGGAAATAAGGAGTACTTACCATTTAAACCAATCCATCCGGTTGGAAATTCATTCGCCAATAGTAAGAAAAGAGCGGGAAACTTTGACTTTCGAAATCTGGTACACGCGTCTACCGGAAGAACCGAAAAGAGCGGGAAAAGTGGTTGACTTCAATCGAAGGCCCGAGTTTTCGGGGACTTTCTTATCGGGAATGATGCATACCTTTCATTTTGCAAGCAGAATTTCCGGTTTTTCCTGGTAAATGGTAAGCACCTAATATCTACTAACCTCTATAGTATACTAACTATTTTACAATAACTAACAGATTTCTCGCGCGCTGATTGGTTATTTTTTATCATCATTAAGAGGACAGACAGATAAAGCTGTCGTCAACGAGCGACTACGCCTCGTGAATCCACACTACTTTGACAATCTGATGATGCAATTTATCGTCAATAAGATTACAGACACATAAAAAACTGATGCCTATTTGTTAATTTGATCACGGTTCTGAGAAAAAAACCTCTAACATTGTGAAAATCTGTCTTCTCTCCATAGTCGCTTATTCGTTACTTCAATCGCTTGTTCTCCTGCCGAGACATATATCGGATTTAATACTAGTTTACCATGATTACTCTCTACCTGGTCCACAGATTCATACAGAGGATTCAATGAATTGCTTTCGAGTTCTTTTCTGATCACTTGGTCGGCAGATTCGTACAGAGGATTGTCAAATATCTTAGTAGCCACTGGACTTGAAGTCTTGAAGTCGATAGTACTGTATGACAATCTCGTATTTTCTTCATTATTATCTTGAAGTTTTACTGGAACTTCTTGAGATATTTCACGTAAAATGTTATCCTGTGATGGAGGGTCAGGTATGAAGGTTGGGTTACTAAACTGGTATTTGTTGGTATTCATCATGTCTTCAAATGGCGGGCTAACATCTTTCGTCTCTTTTGGAGTTAATACAATTCTCCCGTGATTCGACCTGGTCTTGCTATGCTTCCTCCACAACCACGCTACAAGAGATATCACTAAAACCAACAAAAGCAGAACACAAATCGAAATCAAGGCATATATCGTCGTATCTTTAGTACGGCTATTATTAGAACCCTCCGATGAGTTCTCCGTCGTGAGCAGTTTAGCCTCGCAGTTTTCCCCAGTGAAGTTAGAACTACAAACACAAAGGAAATCTTTTCCCTTCAGTGGAATACATGTTCCACCATTTTGACATGTGTCCTCTTTACAGTTTCTCCAATCTTGTTCACAGTTTTCGCCTGTCCATGGATATCGACACGGCTTACAATCATCTCCACCGTACCCCGGTACACATCCCGCACAGTCCCCGCTCCAAGGGGGATTACAGCTACACCAATACTTCGTCGTGCTGTTCTCGGAGTACGGGATACATGTCCCGTTTCGCGGACAAATGTGCGGGTCGTTCCGACAAATTGAACGATTTGTGTCACAGTTGACTCCAGTGAAAGGTTCCTTGCACAGACAAATGAATCCATCCCTCTTTTCTACGCATGCTCCGCCATGAAGACAGCTGTGTTCTGAACAATGACTAATATTAGTCTCACAACGTGAGCCAGTAAATCCCTCTTTACAGAGACAATTGTAACCATTAACATGAGATTCACATCTCAAAGTACCGCTCTCAGAACATGGCTTAGTTCGACAATGGTTTACCATGACGTCACAATTCGGGGGCGACCACCCTGTCTTACAGGGGCAGCTGTAATTCTTGTATCCTCCGAATCCATCTTCGCAAGGCCCGATGGTGTTATCCAAATGACATGGGTCAGACTCACAGTAATCGATATCGACGCAAGAATAACCGTCGCCCTTAAAACCGAGTTTACAAGAGCATTTCGCTTGTCCTGGTCCAGCTCGTAGACACATGGCAAACGCGCTGCAGTTATTTCTACCATTGGAACACATATCTACTTCTTGAACCAATACAGTAATTACGCCAGTCGTACTTAGTCCCCCACGATCAATCGCGCGGATATATAGGGAGTAGCGGTTGATAAACCAGGCATTCAGCTGAGACCCAACATAAAGCTTGCTGTCATGGATACGAAAATGACTGCTGTTTGGGCTACCTATTGATAATAGATGAGAATCATATCTGTCAGGGTCATCTACAATTATGTACCCAATGAGATGACCAACGGGTGAGTCCTCTTCGAGAGATACCGCTGTTTTGCTGCCGTTGAGAGTGATTCTCGTGGGTGCTTCGTTAATATCTGTGATATTCACATGGACGTTCTTGGTAAAGGAGAGCGAAGAGACTACTTCACGTACAGTTATTTGAACAGTAATGATTGGTGTTGTCTCGTGGTCTAATGGTGCACGTGAGACAATTACTTGATCCCTGACTACCATGAAGGGTACCCCATGGGACGTTATCTCGTACACATACCCAGTGCTCGGCACGTCCGCGTCTGTTACAGAAATGTTCCCCAGTAGGGTCCCGTCAGGTGAGTTTTCTCCAAGAGATGACGGGGTTAGATGTAAATCTGTTGGGGGTTCAGGAACATCAAGGACTTGGACGCGCAACGAAGAAACAATTGATAGCGGCGGTAGACCGCTGTCTGTAAATTTAAGAAACAGAGTAAACACAGCGCGGGCCTCATAGTTTAAAACCTTTCGCACAAGAATGGAGTTTGTTCCGGGACGGATCATGAATTCTTTTGGTATCTGATTCGTTTTGGCAGCCGATCGCTTGTGACGAGTAGACGGATCATGCGCACTAACAACAGCAAACAACTTTGCTTCCTCCTCACTTATCAACACGCACTTATGCGTCTGCAGTTGAGCGGGGTTGTTTGTATTATCCTCATCTTTGATTGTGACGTATGTTACTATKGTAACACCGACTTCAGCCGTCTCRTTAACGGTCACTACTGGTGTGCTGATCAGCTGGGTGGTTCTGTTAGGAGGGTGMGGGTCCATAGTCGTATCCCCTTGTGAATCAGTGWATATTATGTTGGTGGGCYTGTCATTCGAGTCTAAGACTTTGATAACAAACTGTTTCTGGTACCAAGACATTCCCCCGTCGGTGCATTTGATGACGATCCTGTGTTCTTTCTGCGTTTCGTAGTCCAATGGAATACCATTYMTTGAMGTGAGGAGATGAATTTTTGAATTATTTTTTTGGATCATAAAACGAGCTTCTGCGTCATCGATTAGTAAGTACGAAAAGGATTGCGGAAAAGTATCGGGGTCCTTAACGACGACATCACCAATATAGGCACCCATGGTCGAATTTTCGTACACGATTTGTCGGCTGAGCTCAACGTCATAAGGAGGCTCGTTCACGTCCTTGATTGGTATCACCATGGCAACAGCTTTCGTCAATTGATTAGGCGTGCCATTATCTGTGCTAGATATAGTTATTTTGATAGCCCTCACTGATTCGTAATCTAGCTGACCGTTGTCTTGTATATAGAGTTTGTTGGTGTGTTTTATGCCGAGTACCCCACCAGGAGTTTGAGTAAGAATGGTATAAACATGTGTCTGTTCTTGATCTTCATCTAGAGTACTCAGCTCTCCTACGATAGTATCGACCTGAAAGGTGACAAGAAAATACTTCATTCTTCGCTTTCATTGTCATTGCCACCATGTTGGTAGTATTGAACAAAAGATTGCTCATTAACGTCCTTCGTTTATACCACACCAACTTCGCTGCCATGTTCTTGTCTCTATATTTGAAAAGCATGAAACTCGAAAAGTGAGTCTCGTTCTGCCTTAGACAGTTTTCACAGCCTGCGATACTTGGCGATCGAAACACCTCTCTCTCCCTTTACCCAATTAATTGAGGACTAAGATGTTTCAAATTACCTTTCTGTTAACTAAAATTTCAAAAGGCTTGTTACGCTAGATTAGGGTAGAACGATCAGAGCCAGAAATGTCTGCATTCCCTTGCAAATAAAACGATAAACTATGCATCTAAAAACACCGCAGTTTTACAACAGACCCTTTTACTGATACGGCGGTCATCTTGAATTATAAGATGCCGAATGGGTAAACACGTAGAAAATTCAAAAAGCATAGATTGGTGAGGAACCTTACCCGAATTCAAGATGTTCGCCAACCATTAATTTTAGCCTCCCACCCCTTCCCATTCAGTAGATACTACGCTGCTACATCCCTGTGACCACTCTGCCCAGGGAGTATTTTTAAAATTTAAACTCCTTCAAAGAATAATACTTTACTGACCTTTTGATTCTCAGTAACGAAGACTCCTCGAGGGAGAACAATATCAGTTGGTGGGTCATTAGTATCGACCACAGCAACTGTTAAACGCTGAGTAACGCTGAGGTTACCGCTGTCCTTACTCGTGACATTAATGTCATAATGATCACGTGACTCATAGTTGAGCCTCGTTGTGGTGATGAGTTGGTTACCGTGTAGTCGGAAAGGGACTGTGGAAGAGTTCTCATGGTGTAAAGAGTACGTGAATGAATCCTGTTTGTCCGGGTCCAAGGTGGCTAACGTAGCAACGAGATATCCAGGGCTTTGGTTTTCTGGAGCCTATGAATAATACGCGAAAAGAGTGTTTTTCTGCACGTTCTCTCACTTCGTCGAAAAAAAATCAACTTCTTCCAAAACGGATTCAGTGAGGAAACAAAAGGTATCTGTAATTGGCATATGCTGTAGTGGTTTCCCAGCCATTGTGTGCATGTTGTGTGTGTAAACGTTTTTTTAATACTTCATTACTGTATGTTTGTAGTAGTTTATGGCGAAGCTAAATAAAATAAAATAAGGTATATTATAAAGCAACAAACTTGGAACCCACCTCAAACCTGTCACTTATTGAGTATATCCTCGTCGGTGGTTCGTTGACATTCACAATATTAATGATAAACTGTTTATTAATAGCTTCTTCATCTTGATCCTGGCATTCAACGTCGATCAAACACTTCGGCCCCAAAGCGTCCTCATAGTCCAACACACGGGACTTCCCCACCACTATGTTGAGTCCACGTATCTCAAACCGACCACTAGCATCATTACGTAATTCACAGCTAAACCGCTGAGCAACAACGGCTTCATCCGGGTCTTCGACTTTGATAGAGCCAACCAGCGTCCCAGGAATTGAATTCTCAAARGCGCGAGTACCATTGATTTYTATTGCTGTCGGTGCTTCGTTGACGTTCGTGACGTAGATGATTAATGATTGGTTGGTGGATGAATTGGTTCTGGTATCCCGGATGTTGAGRGTTATCACGTGGCTTTGAGCCTTTTCATAATCCAGCGGTGTTTTAGTTGTGATTTTCCATGTGTAGGGAGCTACAGATGGCTTTATCTGGACGAAAATAAATCTCACATTATGAACACAATAAATATTTCCGATATACTCGTGTGACATCTCTTGTTCGGCCAAATCATCGGTATGCGAGAATCAAGCAAGGTAATACACTAACGACACCGGTCTACGGGGTCGTATTTAAAAATTAAGCAAATATAGGTTATTAGAGTACAAACACTAAAAGTGTGCAACACTTTGCACTATTTAGTAGTAAATAGTGCTAATTAAACAATAGAAAACAATAGGATTAGCATAATTTAGCAGTATTTAGTGCTATTCATGTTACGCACTTATAGTGTTTGTACTCTAGTATTTTTAAACAAGTAAATACAACAAATCCGGCAAGCTTATTGGTCACAATTTACGTCTTATGCTGTTATATTCACCTACAGGTGAATATGACAGTGAAGGCGCACGCTTGTTTGTTGATGTGTGCCGCTTGCAGAGATAAATAGAATTGGGAAAAAACTTTTTCTCCGTTATTTATCAAATTCACTTGTGTTGAAAATACTAAAACTATTATATTCACCTCAGGCTCAGTGAATATCGGTGAATATTTACCTCGCCGCTCGAAGACTTACGTCTAGGTAAATATTCCCTGATAATCACTTCGCCCTCGGCGAATAATTGTTGAATATTGTTCACCATATTCACTCCGCCTTAGGTGAATAATTTTTTTAGCATAATGTAAACTTGAATATCAGAGAAAAGACAAAATTACTTACGTCTAGGTAAATATTCCCTGATAATCACTTCGCCCTCGGCGAATAATTGTTGAATATTGTTCACCATATTCACTCCGCCTGAGGTGAATAATTTTTTTAGCATAATGTAAACTTGAATATCAGAGAAAAGACAAAATTCAGGATAAAAAGAAAAACGTTTTGCTATCACTGCCGCTGTGGTTGACTTTGTCAAACCTCATCTCATAATCACTCGTCGCTCGACCAATCACAGCGCGCGAAACTATAAAATTATATCTCTAATTATACCGCTTCTCATTAATCCCATATAGGTAACTGTCCAATTATTTTCTTAATTGGACAGGTCTTGCTTATATGGGATTAGTTAGCCAGCTATATAATTAATAGGTAATGGGATTTTATGCTCTCCAATCAAGAAATAATTAGACTCGAAAAATTCCTCCGGCCTCRTCCAATTTTGTCAGTCCTCGGAATCTTTCTCGTCCAATTATTTCTTAGCATGGAGTCCTATTACATATACTAATCTTTACTATTACTATTACTGACCTGGAAGGCATCGGTAGGGTCTGAAACAAGGCTGACTATCACAGCATGGTTCATGGTGAACGAGTCCTTTAGGGTTACAATACCGACTAACGCCCCAGCGATATTTTCACTTACAGAATTATGATGGAGAACAAGGTGGTCTGGAGGTTCGTAAACATCGATGATCTGCGACGACAAAATGACAAAACAAACTGATAATAATTATATTGAATTATATTTTACACCCATCACTCCCCGTTCGGGGCTCTTCCGTGACGTTCCCTCCACACGCATTAACACTATATTCTATAGTTACAACATACAACACTCAACTCACATGATGCTTTTTACGGAGGGAGGAAACCGGAGAACCCGGAGAAAACCCTTGACCAGTGGTTACTAGTGGGGACTGTTTGGGTTTGTCGAATACAACGATTGAATAAGGAAACTAAAGTACTGCGTAAAAAAGCCACGAATGCCAGTTAATTAAATGCCTACATTATTAATTCCATACTTGCCTCAATAATAAACTTTTCAAAGTTTGTTTTTCCGCTGTTGCCATAGACACGAATGACAACCGTGTAGTTCGCTCGCTTTTCGTAGTCCAAGCTCCTAGTCGTCACAAGATCACTGTTACCTCTGGTCAGTGCGAATGCAGAATCATCATTTATATCTAACTGGAACGAGAAAGACTCGGCCGGGTCATGTGACCAAGCAAACACGTGACCGACCAATGAGCCCGCGGGTTTATTTTCAGCGATCTTATTTGAGTCCAGGGTTATGTTGATGACTCCTGACATGTCGATGTTTTTGACGTCGATGTAGATATCCTTCGGAGACCCAGCCACATTGGAATCCTGGCACCAAACTTGAATAAGCTGGCGCGCATGCGTGGCGTTGGTTAGAACTTCGCGTGTGCGCACTTGAAGCCCATGAATCTCAAAAGGGCTGCGATCACTGTTGAGTAAGTAGCAAGTGTGAGAATCCCCAGAATCTTCATCCTCTATATATAACGTACCAACAAGACTTCCAACAGGTGCATTGGAGCTGATAATGTAATGAGATATGTAGACGTTCGACGGAGGGTCATTGGCGTCTGTAACAGTAACATTAAAAGCCTCCTCAATACTTAGTCCACCTCTATCCCTACACTGTAACCCTACACTTATGTTATGTGTAGGAGCAAGTGCTTCATAGTTTATCTTGCCTTTCGTTACTAATATTCCTTTATTAACACCGATCAAGTCTCCGCTAACGACTTCACAAGAAGGTACGTCTCCTCTATCTGGATCTTGAACGCTGATACGAGCGATGTGATAACCAATGATTTTGTTCTCAGGGACACAGACTTGTCCTCCTGCTGAGCAAGAGGCGTATGCTGTGAGTTTTATTGCTTGAGGCGGTTCATTCTTATCGAGAATAGTGACATTGAACTCTTCATCATGACTCAATCCCCCATTGTCCGTCACCCGAAGAACAACACGGAGAGGATGATGGGTAGTTTCAAAGTCAATGTCTTTATTCAAAACAAGCTGGTCGCCAATGACCCGGAAGGAGTTTCCTGGGTTTGACGTCAGGATGATAAAGGTGTGGTTACCCAGTCGGTCTGGGTCACGTGCGCTCAGCGTGCCAATGACAGTACCTATTTGCGCATGCTCAGTGAAAGTAGCCGCTGATAGAAGAATGGCTGTTGGTCTTTCGTTAACGTCTGACAAACGAACTACAATTCTGGATGTGACGGTTGCCCCTCCCTTATCTGTGGAAAGAATGTTCACAGGTATTTGGTTCTGGCTTTCATAGTCTAAGAGACCAGCGTTAGCAACAACCAACGAAGATCCGACGACAGCGAAGGGAGAAGGAATAGGCTCAATGACTTCATAGTAATGACTATCAAATGCATCTTCGTCAATGGTTGACAGGTTTCCAACAAAGGATCCATTTTGTGTTCCTTCGGGGCCATTTACATACTCCTTAATCCAGCCCCCGTGTAAAATGACCCCTTTAGGAGGTTCATTTGAGTCTAGTACTGTAATGTTATACGTCGACGTGGCAGATAAGCTCGGAAACCCATTGTCGCGAACTTGAATTGTAACTATGTACTCTGACTGTCTTTCATAATCTAAACGACCATTAACCAGAAGGGTGTTGCAATTGATTCGAAACAAACCTTGTGCATCAGTGAGTAACGAGAAGGTCAGGTGACTATCCACATCAGCATCCGATGAATTAATTACTCCTACGGTATAACCAATCGATACATTTTCGTACACACTCAACCGGTCAATGATTGGTGGACCTAGAATTTGAAAAAATAAGATATAGAGGCTTTGCACCATCACATGATGGCGGTCATGACAGGAGGCACAACAATAGAGTAGTTCTCAGCTGGAAAACTGAATTCTTTCTCATGTAAATCAGATTAGACTAGATTCAATTGTTCCCGCCTCCTGTCATGGCTGCCATCACGTGATGGTGCAAAGACTCTATTGGTTATTACTAAATCGATTGACACGAGTGAAAGCCGTCTACGCATGCTCTTAGTCCGTATGCAAGTTAGTCGAAACATCTTCGTGCTATTGTAAAAATATGTAAATGTGACTTTCAAACATGCCTGACAAATGGACTTAACAAAATGCCAAAACCTGGTGTCAACGCTTGAAACTTGAGACTCATTCTTTCTCATTGTCTTTATCAATACAGTATCTTGGTCTCACGGAGAAAACGAACATTTATTCTCTTACTTAAACTTTTTGAAATTCTTAGAAAACTCTTTAAAAGGTACGCATGCGCAAACGTTTTTCTCTAGTGTAAACTGACTAACATTTCTCACAGGCCTTTTTTCTTTTTCCTAAGGTCTTTTTCAATAGGGGTCTGGGTAACAAAAGGCTTGGCCAAGAGCAGTCTGGGTAACCAACCCTATATACTTACTCGGGGCTTCATTGACGTCCAGTACGTGCACCGTCAGATTCTGTGTATACGATAACGGGGGTGTTCCACTGTCGGTGCTCATAACTCGGATATCATACCGGGATTTCCTCTCGTAGTCCAAATACCCAGCTACCACAAGAGACCCACGAGAATTATCGACTCCAAACAAACCATGAGCGCCTTCTACCATGGAGTAAGTAAAGGTCTGGTCTTCATCGCTGTCGATGGTAGTCAGTCGACCTATGAYTTCGTTTATTGCTGTGTTTTCGGGGATGAAGTGCGAGGAGAGGATGATAGAATGAGGAGGGCTGTTACGGCCAGGGATTTGAGGTACACACTGAGCCCTTATAACAGTCCATACTCCAGATGATTGACARRTGATGGTGTTCGGWCCAATGAGATAACCTTTAGTACATGTTAATGTACAGGAATGGTTGTATCTGATATTTGAAAAAAATATTCAATTTTTATCAACTTTTGGATATAGTATCGTGTACTGCGAGGGACCGCAGTACAAATTTATTAGATATATACAAGTGCCCTTCACAACTCCCTGCGCCATCTTGAAAGGTAGCCGTACCTTTGCATCAAAGCGAGATCAATGGTGAGCTTGCAATGATAAAGACCTTTTTTAACACTTTGGACGATTATTCACATCTCTATATATTATTGCTAGCTCACCGTTYGTCTCGCTTCGATGCAAAGGCACAGCTACCTTTCAAGATGGCGCAAGGAACTGTGAAGGGGACTATCATTAATAAGATGCCATTTTTGTATTCTTCAATACAACGCTAACATACCTATATTGCTCAACTGTTCCATCACACGTTASGACGATCCCTTGAGGACTCGCGGGATTCCCGCAGCTTATTGTRTCACACCGTTCCCGGTTAGTTGCAAGCTGGTAGCCTGGTTTACAAGCACACATGTAAGACCCCTGGGTATTCATGCACGTATGTTGACAGGCGTCACGCGATTGGTTGCACTCGTCTATGTCATAGCAACTCTTTCTGTCATTGGACAAGAGGTAACCAGTACTGCAGTCACAGTGAAACGAGCCAAGGATGTTAATACATGTCTGGTGACAGGTATTGAGAGAGTTATTCAGACACTCGTTGATGTCGTCACAGGTGTTAGTGATAGGATTATAAACCAGTCCTGATGAACAGACACATCTGTAGGATCCCACGGTGTTCTCACAGTATTCTGATAGGAAAAGAAAAACAATGGCTTCCCATTTCATAGATTCGTGCAATTTCATAATTTCAAGTTCTCTGTTGCTCAGGGTTAGCTTCGATTTGTGTTCCAGAGAAGGTCTGTGGAATTTAAAGGGTTTATATTGTGGAAGTTGTGCATTCTTTACTGTACCGTTGGTATTAGTGAATATTTAGACACTGATTCGAGGCTAACCCTGAGTAATTGATTCTGTAATCAAAAAACACAGCGCTACTTAGGAACTCGAAAATGGTCTATTGATGATAGTAGATGAAAAGGTTGTGTAGATGCAGACGGACAATCAATGGAGCAGATTTCATGACTCAGATTTCATGGGTGAATCCGCGGCAAGGCAAACGCCACAAATCACTGTCAACGGATTATACCTCTTTGGTTTGGGCATAAAGTTTTGCCCATTTCAGACCTTTGTCATTTCCTAGAGTGTTTTTTTTTTTTTTGTTTAACGGCTGGGTATCTTATTCTCAAAGGAATGACACGTGGTCTGAATCGGGAAAACATTACGCCCAAGCCTAAAGAGGTCTATCGCCCTTGAAAGAAAAACAAATGGGAAACTAGGTACTAATCTGCCGCTCGGAGCTTGGACAAAGCATAAATTATATCAAATATTGCAAAGCGCAGCGAAGRACTATTAGAGAGTCTTGATTTCCCCCCTTACCAGGACAGGTGTGGTTGCTATGACTACATTCATCAATATCAACACACGTGTGCTTGTCAGCTGACACAGTGTAACCTGACCGACACGAACAGACGTAGGATGATTCTGTATTTGTACATTTGAATTGACAGCCACCATTATTGATCCTGCATTCGTCTGCATCTGAAGCCAAGAAAGAAAAATACAATAAATTATAAGCTCCATACGTCTTCACGCATCTTTTTGCGCAACAATTTTTTGTTATCGCTTGAATGTTATGCCCCCCGATACCGTGACCGGGCGGGGAATTTACGCGCGGGGAATTAACGCGCGGAGACCGGTGATCTAGCGCGCATCGAACAGCTTGCCAGRAGGTATGGGGAATTTCACGGGCACTTTAAAAAGCAGGGCATCTATAAGATTTTAATGCTGGACCGAAGGCCAAAATCAGAATTATGAATTATGCAAAATGTGCGCGCTTTTATCTTCACTGGTTTCTCACCATTACAAGTTTTTTCGTCAGGATTCAAAGTATATCCACCAAGACAGGAACAGTTGTATGAACCGATGGTGTTGACGCAGACTTGAGAACAGCCACCGCGGTTATAACTACATTCGTTGATGTCTGAAATAATAGGAAAAACACAAGTCAAAATCATCCTGACCAATTATGTCTCATCCTACGAGAACCAGGGGGTGTAGTTGGGAAGGCAACGAAAGAGGAGGAAAGTACCTAGATTCCCCGGGTTTCAGAGAGTGCCGAAGTGTCTATCTGTCGCATCCCCTATCTCATTCTCTTTCCGGTTAAGTTAGGAAGAGGTATGGATCAATATTACGATTCTGATGCTTGTTGTTTGCGATTGTTACTTCCTTCAAAGTAAAAAATTGTTTGACTTGTTTCAACTAACCTTGACAATTCTGTAGATCAACTCCTAGTTCAAATCCTTGTCGGCAAAGACACCTGTATCCACCAATCATATCTTGACACTTGTGACTACATCCGCCATTATTAACGAGACACTGGTTGGGATCTGAAACACAGTATAAAGAGAGGTGGAACCTTCGAATTCCCTGCTAGCAGAGCCTATTTTCCTTTTGTTTTGGCGGAGTGAGAAATAAAGACTCGGCCGATGTAGGACGTTATACTTGTCGCGCCTGCGTGGCGTAATTTGGCAACGCTGTCATGATTTTGRCAGCCGCTCTCGTCAAACAACGTTTGGCGCCACRGTATGTTACATTTGCTCATGCGCACTACATGTACCCAGTTRAAAATCGGTTTTAAAACTGGTTTCGTTCGTCCATGATTGTGGACGGCGGTGTATCAAAGGAAACGCTCTACATCGTCTCCTTCCTCCCCGCCTAAAAGAAGGGAGAGAAAGAGGAGAGACTCTGCTAGCAGGGAAATTTGAAGGTTCCACCMCTTCCCCTCCCCCTCCCCCAATTTGGGCCGCTACGCAGGCTATGTRATGGATGAGAATGGAAGAAGGTAGTTCTGTGTGATTATGGGAAAGTGTGACTATGGATCATATTTTTTTCACATGCAAGGGGTCTATTTATACTGCTCCAAGCTAATTAATTCTGCAGAGAAAATATTTAAATATGCCATAGCAATAATCAAGTACAAACCTGTCCCTGGTTGTCTTTCAGGGTGATAAATGTGTAATGCTGATGGTCTACTCATTCCACCACTTATACTAACTCTATCCTGTCCTGTACTCTTATCACAATGTTCAATGGTATGTTGATGCCAATCTGTCCAATACAGCCTGTCTTTGAACTGTGTCAAGGAGTATGGGTGATATACTTTCCTTCCATCGATGATGGTGTGTCTTTTTTGACCACTCAATGTAGACTTTTCTATTTTATCAGTATTCGCATCTGCCCAGAACAGGACTTTATCCTTATAATCAATYGTCAAACCATTTGGCCAAACAAGATTTGAGCTGACCAACACTTCTTTATGACTACCATCACTCATTTGTGCTCTAGATATTTTAGCATCATTCCCCCAGTCTGTCCAGTAWAGTCTATTATCAACTGGATCAACCACCAAAGCTCTAGGTTTTTCCTCAGGTAGAGCTATAAGTGCCCTGCGTTCGGTACCATCCAGCTTAATAACATTGATAGTAGCCCTTCCTGYGTCAGTCCAATATAGTTTTCTACCCAACCAGTCAAGAGCTAGGTCTTCAGGCACTCCCAGATCTGATGTAACAAAGTCTTCTATATTCTTAGGAYTTAGACCTTGATCAATATGGACTCTTTGGATCTTTTTAGCTTTGATATCTGACCAATAAATTGTTCTTGTCTTGATATCAAAGTCTAAGCCAACGACATTTGAAAGTCCTCTGACGAGGTATTGATATCCTGTGCCGTCAAGATTAATGCGACGGATATCCACAGTGTTAGAAAATATTATGAAAGGTTTATTAAGTTGTTGGGTACTTGCTGCAGTACAAAACAAAACTGGAAAGAAAAGAAATAGAAAAAGGAAAATTAGGTATTTGAGAGGAGTATGTGGTGGGTGGGGGAGGGGGAGAGGGAGGGGAGAGCAGAGAAGGGAGAGGAGGGAAGGGCAGAAGGGAGGAATGGGGCAGAAGGGAGGAATGGGGCAGAAGGGAGGAATGGGGCAGAAGGGAGGAAGGTGGCAATATATAGTTGTCAATATATAGATGATCCCCCTCCAGTTGTCTAAAAACCATGCGATCCCCCTAAATCCTCTGATAGCGAGGTRGCTTAAGGTCAATTTGTCACATGCACATATGACCCAGTCCTCTCAATCCAAGACACATTTGCCACCCTGATATGGAAATCACCGGCACCCCTCATGTGTTTGTTTCAAATGACATAAGGGAACTCTGTAGCAATTTTGGTGCTTTCTTCTATATTGTAACAATCTTTGCATTAAGCAACCTCACTATAAGCCCCAGGTGATGAATATTTTGACTGTTCCCTTATCATTTATAACAATAATGATCAAATATAATTTATAATGATAATTTATATTATTCTGACATCTTCACAGTCATGCCTACTTGACTGTCTGAATTGAAACAAAATACTATTCAAAATTTGTATTTGTAATAACTTTTGAGTTTAATAACACGTAGCTATGTTTATACAAATTGCAAACTCACCTGCAAAAAGTAGAAAAAAAGTTGTTTTTCGTGCACCAGGACAAAACATCACGTTACCTWTAAACAAAAGAAAAACGTAACAATTAGGGAGAAGAACTTTATTAGTTTTCGAATTTTGAATCAATCGTCAGGATGTTTTTCAGTTTTTCAARGACAAAAGAACAAATAAACAAGAGACATTAAAAAAACATTTAAAAACATACTCCATGGCGACTAAACTAAACTTTCTTGGTTAAGAAGAACATGAATGATCTTAAGAGAGAGGTAAATTCGGAAAGTTACATTCAAGTTTTATCGCAATTTAATAACTCTGACTTTTTAATATGACACTAAATTTACACATTTATGTAAAAAATACCATTAAAACGCATTCACATGGCCTGTAAGGCTTTACTTTATGAGGTGTTCAAAGCACAAAGCTTTAGAATTTTATTTTCAGTAGCTTTTCTTGGACTGCAAAGGAACTGAACTGTCATTCGATCTGTCTTCAATATAAGCTTATTACAAACATAAGCTTATTATTATTTTTATTCCAACAAAAATAACATCTTCCATCTAACCATCAAGGCACCTAAATTGCGTTTGAACAAGGTAATTTTAAGGGCAATTAACTTTGATTTTACGGCTTTTATAATTATAAAGTAGTACAAGGCATCAACTTATAACAGCGCTATATGGTAATAAGCTTAAATTAAACAATTGTCAAGGAATTCACCTTCGAAATAAGTCTTTCCACCAAAGAAACATTGACTTTGTGCTCTCTCTCTGATATTTCTCTCAATTATTTARTTTTCTAGATTTCTCCAAACCCCCTGTTATCTCCAACTGCTGTTTTTACTTCCTGGATAAGTAATATTACGTCGTTGTTTTAAAAGTTGTCCTGCGATGTGTAGTAAACATGACCAAAAGGTCAACTCTTTGTCTTTAAAATGCAAATGTTTTTTAAAAACAAAGGCGGTCCAGACATCATATGGAAATACACAAATCTTCAAGCCAAATTGTGATGAAAAACTTTTTGCATAGGATGTTTAAAAGTAACAAATTGTTACTACTAGAATTTAAGTTTTGTTATTGTAGAGAATTTGTCATCATTTGATTGGAAAAAATGGCGGGAAAGCGACCACAGGCAGCCCAGTTTATTAACAGTATTTTTCGGTGATTTGCTAGCTACAAAATTTAGTAAGACGCTACAGTAATTTTTTACCTAATTTTCCCGTTCGATTGTATTATGAAAGACGATAACATTGCCTTAAAGTACATATATTTTTTAAAGGTGGTTTTTAAAAAATTATATTTACGACGATAACCACCTCAAGCTTATAGCGAATAAATTAATGTAAAACGATTCATTATCGATTGGTTACGAAGGCTTATCGATGTTGATACAAATGGTATAGAAAATGTGAAAAACAACATCAAAAGCGTGAGAATATTTAACGCCATGGTAAGATATAATAACTTAACATTTAAAGCTGATGTAGTGARTTGGTGTATTGTGGATATTTTCCACRTTGCACTTCATTCTAAGCYTTTGTCTTTGCCGAACAGTGACTGTCCACATTTAGTATATTGACATCGATTTCGATTTGGGTTTAACATGTGTTTAAACATATATATTTGTCGTATAATAATGAAAACGTTCAACAATTATTGATAATTAAGCTTAAATATTTTTTAGATTTTATATAAGTTTAGACAAAAAGAAAGAAATATTTATATATTAGACTTAATTTCGGCCTATTGGTGGCGTGCGTCAAGAACAAATCACAGCCGCCATGTTGGTTGACATGATAAAAGACACCAAGCTCCAGGAACAAAGCTTTTGTCAAAGTCAACCAAAATGACAGGTATTACATCACATGCACCCCAAAAATAGCTTATAAGACTTATTAGTATAGTTTTATATTAATATTAGTATCAATTTTATATTTATATTTATATTAGTATTTTAATTGAGGCTTCGAGGGCTGGGATTTGTCAAGCAACCAGTGATTATTAGACATTAGCATATACCAACTTGTGTACTTCCTAAGAATGGCGTGCTCTTTGGTTAATTGGAGGTGAATATTGTACAATATTCACCTCTGAATCTCGGAATATTGAGTGGGCAACAAAATGGCATCTGCCGGCAGTCGTTTTGCTACGATTTCCGATGAGGAAATTGAAAAAATGAAAGTAAATGCCATTCTTATCAATACTAAAAAGGCAACGAAGTATGGCCTAAAAGTTTTGCTAAAAGTTTTGCGTGAATTTGTTAGGCAAACTAAAGTTTCTGTTTGTTTGTTTTTATTGAATTATTGTATATAAAAATAAGTTACTCTGTAAACAAGTTGGTATATGCCAAAACAATTATTCGCCTCAGGCTCATTGAATATGGAGAATATTCACTTGAAGACTCGCGTCTCGGTAAATATTCCCTGATATTCACTTCCCCTTTGGCAAATAATTGCTAAATACTCACTGCTCTAGCAGTGATTATGAGCTTTCCCACAGTTAGCCAGAGCAAAAGTAATAATAAAATGTTTTTTACCCCGAAATGTTTTCTTTTCTCTGATATTCAATTCTAAAGTTATTCACCTCTAGTCTCCTTTGCAGCGGTTTTTAGTCAGTCCAAATGCTTCCCTCCCCACTGGAGTTGGGGGGGGGGG